CTATATTCTATATCTTACATTGCTGTATACCTTTTACTCCCTATATCACATTGCAGTATACCTATATTCCATATCTCACATTGCTGTATACCTTTTACTCCCTATATCAAATTGCAGTATACCTATATTCCATATCTCACATTGCAGTATACCTATGTTCCATATCTCACATTGCAGTATACCCTTACACCCTATATCACATTGCAGTATACCTTACTCCCTATATCACATTGCAGTATACCTATATTCCATATCCCACATTGCAGTATACCTTTACTCCCTATATCACATTGCAGTATACCTTTTTACTCCCTATATCAAATTGCAGTATACCTATATTCCATATCTCACATTGCAGTATACCTTTACACCCTATATCACATTGCAGTATACCTTTTACTCCATTTATCACATTGCAATATACCTATGTTCCATATATCACATTGCAGTATACCTTATACACCTACATCACATTGCAATATACCTATGTTCCATATATCACATTGCAGTATGCCTATGTTCCATATCTCACATTGCAGTATACCTTACACCCTATATCACATTGCAGTATACCTTTTACTCCCTATATCACATTGCAGTATACCTATATTCCATATCTCACATTGCAGTATACCTATATTCTATATCTCACATTGCAGTATACCTTTACACCCTATATCACATTGCAGTATACCTTTACACCCTATATCACACATTGCAGTGTACCTATATTCTATATCTCACATTGCAGTATACCTTTACTCCATGTATGACATTGCAGTGTACCTATATTCCATATCTCACATTGCAGTATACCTTTTACTCCCTTTATCACATTGCAATATACCTATGTTCCATATATCACATTGCAGTATACCTTTACACCCTACATCACATTGCAATATACCTATGTTCCATATATCACATTGCAGTATGCCTATGTTCCATATCTCACATTGCAGTATACCTTTACACCCTATATCACATTGCAGTATACCTTTACTCCCTATATCACATTGCAGTATACCTATATTCCATATCTCACATTGCAGTATACCTATGTTCCATATCCCACATTGCAGTATACCTTTACTCCCTATATCACATTGCAGTATACCTTTACTCCCTATATCACATTGCAGTATACCTATATTCCATATCTCACATTGCAGTATACCTTTACACCCTATATCACATTGCAGTATACCTTTACACCCTATATCACATTGCAGTATACCTATATTCCATATCTCACATTGCAGTATACCTTTACTCCCTATATCACATTGGAGTATACCTATGTTCCATATCACACATTGCAGTATACCTTTTACTCCCTATATCACATTGCAGTTTACCTATATTCCATATCTCACATTGCAGTATACCTATGTTCCATATCTCACATTGCAGTATACCCATACCCTATATATCACATTGCAGTATACCTTTACTCCCTATATCACATTGCAGTATACCTATATTCCATATCCCACATTGCAGTATACATTTACTCCCTATATCACATTGCAGTATACCTTTACTCCCTATATCAAATTGCAGTATACCTATATTCCATATCTCACATTGCAGTATACCTTTACACCCTATATCACATTGCAGTATACCTTTACTCCCTATATCACATTGCAATATACCTATGTTCCATATATCACATTGCAGTATACCTTTACACCCTACATCACATTGCAATATACCTATGTTCCATATATCACATTGCAGTATGCCTATGTTCCATATCTCACATTGCAGTATACCTTTACACCCTATATCACATTGCAGTATACCTTTACTCCCTATATCACATTGCAGTATACCTATATTCCATATCTCCTCACATTGCAGTATACCTATATTCTATATCTCACATTGCAGTATACCTTTTACAACTTATATCACATTGCAGTATACCTTTTACACCCTATATCACATTGCAGTGTACCTATATTCTATATCTCACATTGCAGTATACCTTTTACTCCCTGTATGACATTGCAGTGTACCTATATTCCATATCTCACATTGCAGTATACCTTTTACTCCCTTTATCACATTGCAATATACCTATGTTCCATATATCACATTGCAGTATACCTTTTACACTTACATCACATTGCAATATACCTATGTTCCATATATCACATTGTAGTATGCCTATGTTCCATATCTCACATTGCAGTATACCTTTACACCCTATATCACATTGCAGTATACCTTTACTCCCTATATCACATTGCAGTATACCTATATTCCATATCTCACATTGCAGTATACCTATGTTCCATATCCCACATTGCAGTATACCTTTACTCCCTATATCACATTGCAGTATACCTTTACTCCCTATATCACATTGCAGGATACCTATATTCCATATCTCATTGCAGTATACCTTACACCCTATATCACATTGCAGTATACCTTTTACACCCTATATCACATTGCAGTATACCTATATTCCTATATCTCACATTGCTTTATACCTTTACTCCCTATACCACACATTGGAGTATACCTATATTCCATATCACACATTGCAGTATACCTTTACTCCCTATATCACATTGCAGTAAACCTTTGTTCCATATATCACATTGCAGTATACCTATGTTCCATATCTCACATTGCAGTATACCTTTACACCCTATATCACATTGCAGTATACCTATGTTCCATATATCACATTGCAGTATACCTTATACACTATATCACATCAGCAGTGTACCTATATTCCATATCTCACATTGCAGTATACCTTTACTCCCTATATCACATTGCAGTATACCTATATTCCATATCTCACATTGCAGTATACCTTTACATCTTATATCACATTGCAGTATCCCTTTGTTCCATATATCACATTGCAGTATACCTATGTTCCATATCTCACATTGCAGTATACCTTTACACCTTTATATCACATTGCAGTATACCTATGTTCCATATCTCACATTGCAGTATACCTTTTACACCCTATATCACATTGCAGTATACCTATGTTCCATATATCACATTGCAGTATACCTTACACCCCTATATCACATCCAGAGTGTACCTATATTCCATATCCTCACATTGCAGTATACCTTTACACCCTATATCACACATTGCAAGTATACCTATATATTCTATATCTCACATTGCAGTATACCTTTACTCCCTGTATGACATTGCAGTGTACCTATATTCCATATCTCACATTGCAGTATACCTTACTCCCTATATCACATTGCAGTATATTCTATATCTCACATTGCAGTATACCTTTTACACCCTAAATCACATTGCAGTGTACCTATATTCCATATCTTACATTGCTGTATACCTTTACTCCCCTATATCACATTGTATACCTATATTCCATATCTCACATTGCTGTATACCTTTTACTCCCTATATCAAATTGCAGTATACCTATATTCCATATCTCACATTGCAGTATACCTATATTCCATATCTCACATTGCAGTATACCTTTACACCCTATATCACATTGCAGTATACCTTTACTCCCTATATCACATTGCAGTATACCTATATTCCATATCCCACATTGCAGTATACCTTTACTCCCTATATCACATTGCAGTATACCTTTACTCCCTATATCACATTGCAGTATACCTATATTCCATATCTCACATTGCAGTATACCTATATTCCATATCTCACATTGCAGTATACCTTTACACCCTATATCACATTGCAGTATACCTATATTCCATATCCCACATTGCAGTATACCTTTACTCCCTATATCATATTGCAGTATACCTTTATTCCATATCTCACATTGCAGTTTACCTATGTTCCATATATCACATTGCAGTATACCTTTACTCCCTATATCACATTGTAGTATACCTTTATTCCATATCTCACATTGCAGTATACCTATATTCCATATCTCACATTGCAGTTTACCTTTACTCCCTATATCACATTGCAGTATACCTTTATTCTATATCTCACATTGCAGTATACCTTTAATTCTATCTCACATTGCAGTATACCTTTACTCCCTGTATGACATTGCTGTATACCTTTATTCCATATCTCACATTGCAGTATACCTTTATTCCATATCTCACATTGCAACATACCTTTATTCCATATCTCACATTGCAGTATACCTATATTCCATATCTCACATTGCAGTATACCTTTATTCTATATCTCACATTGCAGTATACCTATGTTCCATATCTCACATTGCAGTATACCTATATTCCATATCTCACATTGCAGTATACCTTTATTCTATATCTCACATTGAAGTATACCTATGTTCCATATCTCATATTGCAGTATACCTATATTCCATATCTCACAGTGCAGTATACCTTTATTCCATATCTCACATTGAAGTATACCTTTACTCCCTATTTCTCATTACAGTATACCTTTACTCTATATTCCTATGTGCAGTATTCCTTTACTCTATATTCCTATGTGCAGTATTCAGTATCTCTATATTCCTATGTGCAGTATTCTGTTACTCTATATTCCTCTGTGCAGTATTATGCTACTCTATATTCCTCTGTGCAGTATTCTTTTACTCTATATTCCTCTGTGCAGTATTCCTTTACTCTATATTCCTCTGAGCTGTATTCTGTTACTCTATATTCCTGTGCAGTATTCTTTTACTCTATATTCCTCTGTGCAGTATTCTTTTACACTAGGGGCGGTGGGGTAGCCTAGTGGTTAAAGCGTTGGCCTGTCACGCCGAAGACCCGGGTTTCGAATCCCCACATAGGTACAATGTGTGAAGCCCATTTCTGATGTCCCCTGCCGTGATGTTGCTGGAATATTGCTAAAAGCGGCGTAAAAACCAAACTCAGTCAGTCAGTCAGTCAGTCAGTCTTTTACACTATATTCCTCTGTGCAGTATTTTGTTACTCCCTATTTTAGTGCAGTATTCTGTTACTTCCTATTTTAGTGCAGTAATATTTAACTCCCCCTACCTTGTTCTGCAGGATTCCGTTATGCTGGGGTACAGTACAGCAAGGAGTGCTGGTGCGGCGACAGTTACGGCAAACACGGACACAGCCCGGAGAGTCTGTGTGAAGGGAGGTGCTCAGGGGACAGCTCACAGAGATGTGGGGGCTACCTGACCAGCAAGATATACAGCACCGGTGTCGGAGGTGAGGGGGAGGGAACTATCAGGGTGGAGTTGAAGGGAGGTGCTCAGGGGACAACTCACAGAGATGTGGGGGCTACCTGACCAGCAAGATATACAGCACTGGTGTCGGAGGTGAGGGGGAGGGAACTATCAGGGTGGAGTTGAAGGGAGGTGCTCAGGGGACAACTCACAGAGATGTGGGGGCTTCATGACCAGCAAGATATACAGCACTGGTGTCGGAGGTGAGGGGGAACTAGGAACTATCAGGGGATGGAGTTGAAGGGAGGTGCTCAGGGACAGCTCACAGAGAGGTGCTCAGGGACAGTGGGGGCTACCTGACCAGCAAGATATACAGCACTGGTGTGAGGGGGAGGGAACCATCGGAGGTGAGGGGGAGGGAACTATCAGGATGGAGTTGAAGGGAGGTGCTCAGGGGACAGCTCACAGAGATGTGGGTGCTACCTGACCAGCAAGATATACAGCACTGGTGTCGGAGGTGAGGGGGAGGGAACTATCAGGATGGAGTTGAAGGGAGGTGCTCAGGGGACAGCTCACAGAGTTGTGGGGGCTTCATGACCAGCAAGATATACAGCACCGGTGTCAGAGGTGTGGGGGAGGGACTATCAGGGTGGAGTTGAAGGGGACACATTTTGTACATGTACAAATAGAGTAGTTTTCGTTTTGACTAACTAATTTCAAGCAGTGTGATGTTTTCTTGAATTTGTATTTGCCATTTCTTATCATATCCATAAATATTTCCAGAGAAGAAACGTTACCAGGCACCTCTAGTGCGAGCAGGAAGTACTGAAGCTGAGAGCACCGTCAGGATTGTATTTGTTCTGACATTAAATGGGCGGCAAGTACGCCAGGTGGCGCGACTACTCCGCAACATCTACCACCCCCAGCACTACTACTTCCTGCACATCGACAAGGTGAGCAGCCACAGGCATCTCACAAACTGTGGAAGCCCACTGTCACATTCGCCTTTCATGGGATCTCATGGTTCCACTGTAGGACATTGTCAGTGAGATGGGATTGTAATCAGGCATAAGTTCAGTCAAGGACTCGTTCATTACTGAATGTAAACAAATGTCTGAATACTGGATCAATCTGCTGTTCAGTAATATCTCTCAGTCCATACAATCTGTCAGTAGTGGTTATCTGATTGTAATATCTCTCAGTTCATACAGTCCATACAATCTGTCAGTAGTGGTTATCTGATTGTAATATCTCTCAGTTCATACAATCTGTCAGTAGTGGTTATCTGATTGTAATATCTCTCAGTTCATACAGTCTGTCAGTTCATATAATCTGTCAATTGTGGTTATCTGAGTGTAATATCTCTCATTTCATACAGTCTGTCAGTTCATATAATCTGTCAATTGTGGTTATCTGAGTGTAATATCTCTCATTTCATACAATCTGTCAGTTCATATAATCTGTCAATTGTGGTTATCTGAGTGTAATATCTCTCATTTCATACAATCTGTCAGTTCATATAATCTGTCAATTGTGGTTATCTGAGTGTAATATCTCTCATTTCATACAATCTGTCAGTTCATATAATCTGTCAATTGTGGTTATCTGAGTGTAGTATCTCTCATTTCATACAGTCTGTCAATAGTGGTTATCTGAGTGTAATATCTCTCATTTCATACAATCTGTCAGTTCATATAATCTGTCAATTGTGGTTATCTGAGTGTAATATCTCTCATTTCATACAGTCTGTCAGTTCATATAATCTGTCAATTGTGGTTATCTGAGTGTAATATCTCTCATTTCATACAATCTGTCAGTTCATATAATCTGTCAATTGTGGTTATCTGAGTGTAGTATCTCTCATTTCATACAGTCTGTCAATATAATCTGTGGTTATCTGAGTGTAGTATCTCTCATTTCATACAATCTGTCAGTTCATATAATCTGTCAATTGTGGTTATCTGAGTGTAGTATCTCTCATTTCATACAGTCTGTCAATTGTGGTTATCTGAGTGTAGTATCTCTCATTTCATACAGTCTGTCAATTGTGGTTATCTGAGTGTAATATCTCTCAGTTTCTACAATCTGCCGTTCACTTCAGACATAAGTTTACAGAGATTGATGTAGATCTAAAGCACATTGAATGAAATTTTAAATAGTCCAGGTATACAGTGACCATGCTTTGTTTCCAGATACTGTAATAACATGACTAACATGCGTACTTGAGTACTGAATTGTTGACACTGTATTTCTGGAGGTGTGTGCTCAACTCTGTGTGTTATGGTGAAGTCAGAACTTATCCTTGCATGTTGAGTGAGTCTAGGTTTACACCGCATTGAGCAATATTCCAGCTATATGGCGGCGGTCTGTAAATAATCAAGTCTGGAAACAAAAATATAGAGTAGCTAAAACTGTATGATGCCTGCTATGGAACCTTGTATACAGAAAGCATTTCTGTTCACCTCGTTCTGCAGGGGGGTATATTTCGATGATTTTCAAACTTCATGAGCCAATTGCATGAAGGCATAACATTCAAATGTTGAAGTGTTCCAAAAATTTCAAGCATCCTCTATTTGGTTTTCTGATAAATCCTTTCCTGTTTTAGAGGCAGGAGTTTATGTATCGAGAGTTACTTCCCCTGGAAAAGCAGCTGCCCAACATCTTGGTGACCAGGACAAGGTTCTCCACAATCTGGGCCGGGGCCAGCCTCCTGCAGGCGCACTTACACTTTATGAAGCAGCTGCTGGAGACACCCTGGGCCTGGGACTACTACATAAACCTCAGTGAGAGCGACTACCCCATCAAGTGAGTACATCAACCTCAGTGAGATCGACTACCCCATCAAGTGAGTACATCAACCTCAGTGAGAGCGACTACCCCATCAAGTGAGTACATCAACCTCAGTGAGAGCGACTACCCCATCAAGTGAGTACATCAACCTGAGTGAGAGCGACTACCCCAACCAGTGAGTACATCAACCTCAGTGAGAGCGACTAGCCCATCAAGTGAGTACATCGATATCAGTGAGAGCGACTACCCCATCAAGTGAGTACATCAACCTCAGTGAGAGCGACTGGCCCATCAAGTGAGTACATCAGCCTGAGTAAGAGCGACTACCCAATCAAGTGAGTACATCAACCTAAGTGAGTGTGATTACCGAATTAAGTGCGAACATCGATGTCAGCGAGAGTAACTTCCCACCCACTATCATCCAGACTATCACCAACTGTTTAGCCATTTTGAAGTCATGCAATCGATCACAGAGTTGGTGAGCATCCTTTGCAAGTGGTCCCTCGCCGAGATATTGCTTGAATATAGCTCACTCTCTTTGCAAGTGGTGGTGCAGCTTTTCAGTAAAGCTCTATTACACTTTACTTAATGACAGGTGACACAAACAAATCATGTTGAGGTTTATAATACTCAGTAACTGTGGATGTTGTCTTCCAGGCCAGTGAAGGATCTGACTGCCTTCCTGTCTCTCTACAAGACCTACAACTTCCTCAAGTCTCACGGGCGTGACACACCTAGGTAACATGATTTGTTCATATACATGTGAAGTGTGTATGATGCCATTATGTGGTTTGTTACGCAAGACAATGCTTAGAGCATGGCAGACAATGCCCAAGTTGTGCCAGAGAACTCTCAGATTGTGACAGACAAAATGCTTAGGTCATGCCAGACAATGCCCAAGTTGTGCCAGAGAATGCTCAGATTGTGACAGACAATGAGAAGGACATATCAGACAATGCCCAAGTTGTGCCAGAGAACTCTCAGATTGTGACAGACGATGTGCAGGACATATCAGACAATGCCCAAGTTGTGCCAGAGAACTCTCAGATTGTGACAGACAATGTGCAGGACATACCAGACAATGTCCAAGTTGTGCCAGAGAACTCTCAGATTGTGACGGACAATGCGCAGGACATATCAGACAATGCCCAGGTTGTGCCAGAGAACTCTCAGATTGTGACAGACAATGTGCAGGACATACCAGACAATGTCCAAGTTGTGCCAGAGAACTCTCAGATTGATTGTGACGGACAATGCAGGACATATCAGACAATGCCCAGGACATATCAGACAATGTCCAAGTTGTGCCAGAGAACTCTCAGATTGTGACAGACAATGCGCAGGACATATCAGACAATGCCCAGGTTGTGTCAGAGAACTCTCAGATTGTGACAGACAATGTGCAGGACATACCAGACAATGCCCAAGTTGTGCCAGAGAACTCTCAGATTGTGACAGACAATGCGCAGGACATTTCAGACAATGCTCAGGTAGTGACAGATTATGCACAGGTTGTGCCATAATTTGCACCGATTGTGCCAGAGAATGCTCAGGCTGTGCAGGCAGTGTGCAAGTTGTGACAGGCAATGCTGAAGTCATTTATACCATTCAAGAAACCCAAGATGTAACAAGACATCAATGCATTGTAAATTGATACATTGTATCGCAATGCATACAATTCATTACATTGTAAGTTATGTAGATATGTTGATGTGAATAACAACAGAAACTGTTAAGGAAGCAGTTTATGCAGATGCTCTAGTATTCCCTGGCTGGCTATAAGTAGCTGAATCTGCACAGTGCCTCACTACCAGACAATGCTCAGGTCAAACGGGACAAAATTCAGGTCATTCCAGATAATGCACAGGTCATTCCAGATAATGCACAGGTTGTGCCCGACACATGATGACAATCATTTATCACATGCCAGATGATGACAATGTTTTACCAGTGACAGATGATGGCAATATTTGTTTGTCCTTTGGCAGATAATGACAATATTTTTCCTTATCCTGACTCATGCTCTTTTGCTTGTCTTCTTCTTCTTGCGAACATAGTGGAACACTTGTATCTCCCTAATTGAAGTTCCCTTCAATGTAAAATCACTAATTAGTACTCACCACGAGTTACCTCCCTTCCACAAGCGCGGGAACGAGGGCGCCACCTCCACCCGTGAGCTGGACCTGAGAGCGCCTGTGTCTCCCGACACACTATATCCTTTGATTATATTTAGTTAGTTACCTCATATAGGCATCTATAGAGGTTTAGCTAGTATCCTTCAACAATTATATATTGATATTTAGTCGTGTTTCTACTGTTTATTCACGGGACGCCGTGTTTGTTCAGTGGATTACGTTGATGAAAATCTGTACTGTTTGCAGATTACGTTTTTTATTCTCCTGCTGATCCGCATTTAATATGCCCTAGCTGTACTGCGCCATGTTCATTTTATTCATGTTGCAGTTGCGGTACTAATTTATCCATTTCTGCCTTTAATAAATATTTACTTTGCGTTTGAGACGCGCAGCAGATAGGTCGCGTATGCAGAGTCTAGCCATGACTGATACACCTGAACCCCTCGCCAGTCTACTGCTGTTGGTCGACCCCCCTCCCGTCTGGTGTTCCGCTAGAGTGGTGGAGAGGCGTGGGACGTAGTCCGCCGTCTCCAAGAAGCGTCCTGTTTTCCCAGACATCCCGTCGTCGCAGCCGAAGACTAGAGGGCTTCTACTTCATCGCAACGCAGACTTCGCACCCCCAGGGCAGCGTCAACCTCTGAGGGGAAATCAACAAAGTCTACTAGGACTTTCTCAACCGAGATTGTTCCAGCCGCTGAACTGGGCCTCTACGATGATCAGCCAATCATTATCCCCGATCTACGCCACAAGAGACGACCAGTGTCGGCAACAGTGACGTCAGCACAGATCGCCATGCAGCCTGATGTGTCTACACCGATGTCGGACGATCTTCCTGAGGGCCCCGTCGCTAACTTCGCTGAGAGGGCACCGACTAGATCGTCTTCCTGAGGGCCCCGTCGCTAACTTCGCAGAGAGGACACCGACTAGATCGTCGCAGACCGTCCCAGACGACCTGATGCGGCAAATCATGAAGATCAGCCCAGGACCTGAGCCTTTGTGAAGGCTCCAACGTGACGACATCCCAGAGGGACCCCCTGTCAACGTGAAGCGCCACGACAAAGCCACCTTCGCCGAAGGAAGTCACAGACCACCTCGACGGCGACCCAGATATACAGCCTTCGCTGAAGGCCTTCGGCTTGATAGATCATCACCTACCTCGCTTCATCCTTAGATTCGACTCGACCACCAGACTTCACAAAGCCTTCGCTAAGGTCAAGTCGCCGCCTCACGACCGACGAGAGGAAGCTTCGCTGGCGCCTTCGCTAAGGGCACCTTTATGAGGCTCCAAATCATCTTCGGCCCAGAAGGACATCGAGGGATTCCACAAGAGCTTCGCTGGCTATCAACATTCACCTCACAGATCTCCGCCGAAGGTCAACCCACAGACGCAGATCATCAGGACGTTCACCAAGACGCTCCCCTCGCCATTCTCCATGCCGATCACCTCGCCGTTCACCGCGCCGATCTCCTCGTACATCACCACGTCGATCTCCTCGCGGGTCACCACACAAGTCTTCACAGACACCCGGTACAGTGGTAGAAGCACACAGTCCACCATCTGAAGAGCATCAACCTCTCATCAGCGATCCTGTGGTAGAAGATGATGGAGGCATCAATTTCTCAGACGCTGAGATACGTTATTGGATGGTTAACAACCTAGACCTTTCTTCACCTTCCAAGAGTGGTAACTCGGCGCATACTTACCTGATGAAGGAGGACGATGCAGACGCCATCACCTTACCTCCGATCGACCCGATTGCTGCGGTGCCACAGAATTTGGACACAGCCTGCCATAAAGCCATGAAAGTTCAAACACCACACCATGACGAGGCGTATGTTCTTTGGCCTTAATAGATCTGGAACGATCAATGAGATTCTTATCACCAGATTTCGTGACACGACTTCTGAAGATGATAGGATGATCTACTCGGCCCTACTTAAGCAGAACCAGCAAGAACCACACCCTGTAGAACACAGAGGTCGTTCGTGAAGCAAACGCTCATATATTGATCGGACTCTAGACACTTCGCTAAGGAAGTCCCAGGCCACCTCCGCGAAGGAGCTAGAGCCTCACCAGTTGCAAGGGACGTCGCGGAGGAGTAGCACTTCGCTGACCCCACATCCTGTTGAACACAGAGGTCGTTCGCGAAGCAAGCGCTCATATATATATACTGATCGGGCTCTGACTCGATACCTTCGCGAAGGTCGCGAAGGCTAAGTGGCTCCAAGTCTACTTCACCCAGAAGATCTAGAAGCGATACTTCGAGAGCTTCGCGAAGTCAGTCCGTTCAAGACATCGCATAAGTTGTCTATCAACTGTATGCCATATGCCGTCTATAAGCACAGGCTATTTACAACACAGAACGTCGCTGTATTAATTAGTCAACGACGTTTCATAGATCTTCACAGGAATCAACTTTTCCGTATAGATTGCTAGAATATGCAATCCCGGACTACGATACGATTATCTACATGCGTGACCATTACGCAGATCTGCAGACAATTCAATATCGAAATTGAACAGCAGCCTTGTTACAGCGAGTATAACTCATAATCGTCAACGTTTCTGAGAAGAAATATGTACAACAAGTTCAGCTTTAATTCTACAATTATGACGATACATTCATGTATACAGTCTACAAGCTGACAACTGGCAAGTTTATTGTACCTTTATATAAGGAAGTTGGAATTATATTCAAAACTGAAGTTACTTTCACGACAGCCAGGAAAATAACCTACCCAGCATTAATATTACAGAGCGAGGTATTTCGCGCCCGAAGGTTCGCTTTACCATTAACCCTCGAAACACGGTCACTGGGTAACTTCGAAGCTACGGTGAATACCGACGATTATTCTAATATCAACGACGGCAAGATTTTATACAAGGTTCTTTCCTGCTACACCGGTGACATCACAGCTGGTATTCTACAGAATCAAAATGCCTTGTTCTGACTGGACCGCGATGGACAACGACCTACGCAGAGGTCGATCTTAGTTCACAGTTCAAGACTTAGGTTACAAGTGACAACAATATATCAGTGAACGAGCAAGCCTCCTTACAGTCCAGTTAATCTGAACCTTCATGATTGGGCTGCCTTCTTGAGGTTAGAGACCTCCCCTGTCAAGTTTAGGACGAGGGCACGGCAGTCAGGCGATTTTACATAAAGTTCAACGAGGACAGGCACACCTGGTTGTGCACCTACATCGCCAAAGGACTTCGCGAGCGAATTTACCTAGACGACGGGATACAAGTGGATCCAAATCCACAGCGTCTCAGACTACAGCTGAATTTCATCATCAAGCTACTAACACAACTAGATGGTTAGTAAACCTACTTAAGCTTTCTGATTGGAGGATTAAAACGGAAGCTTCACGCTCCAACTTGGGGATCTGAATATAGTGCTCCAACACCTCACAAGTGAGGTTTATGAACACGCTTTGATGATATACTTGGACTCCATGATACGATGATTCTATCACGATGGCCAGTAAGAGCACTGTAAATATATCTCCACCGAACCAAACAGGAGGGGAAAATGCAACAGATTATTTCCTCTATCATCAAGTTACGCAGACTGAAGTCTCATGTACTACTATCTCCTTTTGGATCAGAACTGTCATACTACGTGCCTACAAGACTGCAGGACCCGACCCGACCCTCCATGAGCTTCTAATACTCATGATATTAGAGCGCTAACTTCTACAATTGATCTACACAAGTGTTATTTGAAATAATGGAGGGTTTATTTCTGGAGATCCGATATGGTGGTTGCCAACCATTATCTGAGAGATATCACCACCGAGGACGTCTCAGGTATCCACCAATTCGGTCCCATGGTCCTCGCACAACAGTTGACAGTTCCTCGGAGAAGATAAGTCAATCTTACAGATTTCTACTTATCTTATAACAGTACTAAATAGCTACATGCTATATATAATTTGCTTAAGTTCTTTTTTATCATCACAGTACTATGGTTATTACATCATACAATATATAAGTTTACAACTCTACAGAGTTTGTTATTATATATTTACCTTAAGTTAATCATATCTTAAGCGTAGTACTATGGTTACATTATAAATGCATTAGCTAACAAACTCTACAGAGTTTTTAGCTATTATATATTTGGCTTAAGTTTCATCATATCTTAAGCTTTATGGTTACATTATAACATGTATTAGCTAACAAACTCTACTGAGTTTTTGCTATTATATATGTAGCTTAAGGTTTCCTTCATATCTTAAGCTCAATACTATGTTTATATCATATAAGTATATTAGCTAACAAACTCTAAAGGGTTTTTTGCTATTATATATTTAGCTTAAGTTTCATCATATCTTAAGCAGTATGGTTACATTATAAAATGTATTAGCTAACAAACTCTACGGAGTTTTGCTATTATATATATAGCTTAAGTTTAATCATATCTTAAGCTCAGTACTATGTTTATAACATAAAAGTATATTAGTTAATAAACTCTAAGGAGTTTTTTGCTATATATATTTAGCTTAAGTTTAATCATATCTTAAGCTCAGTACTATGGTTACATTATAAATCTATTAGCTAATAAACTCTACAGAGTTTTTGGCTATTGTATATGTAGCTTAAGTTAATTATATCTTAAGCACAGTACTATACTCATATCGTAAAAATATATTAGCTAACAAACTCTACAGAGTTTGTTATTATATATTTACCTTAAGTTAATCATATCTTAAGCGTAGTACTGTGGTTACATTATAAATGCATTAGCTAACAAACTCTACAGAGTTTTTGGCTATTGTATATGTAGCTTAAGTTAATTATATCTTAAGCACAGTACTATACTCATATCGTAAAAATATATTAGCTAACAAACTCTACAGAGTTTTTGCTATTATATATGTAGCTTAAGCTTATTCATATCTTAAGCGCAGTACTATGTTTATATCATATAGGTATATTAGCTAACAAACTCTAAAGAGTTTTTGCTATTATATATTTGGCTTAAGTTTCATCATATCTTAAGCTTTATGGTTACATTATAACATGTATTAGCTAACAAACTCTACTGAGTTTTTGCTATTATATATGTAGCTTAAGGTTTCCTTCATATCTTAAGCTCAATACTATGTTTATATCATATAAGTATATTAGCTAACAAACTCTAAGGAGTTTATACTAGCATATTAACAAGCTTAAGTCTATTAGTCTTAAGCATTGTATTAATGTTATATATACTTTATCATAATAAGTAAATTGTAATAACCTTTATATGGCATCTGATAAGTTAGCAGCAGGAATTCATCAGTTCAGTGCCTTTATGAAGTTCCCATAGGGTTATTACAATCATCACAGTTCAAATCACTAATTATTAAAATCCAAAGTATTATATATTCCCACCTCCTTTTCCGTAGGATTCTACAAGCAAAAGAGCATGAGTCAGGATAAGGAAAAATATGTAATTTTTAGAGTAAAATTGATATTTTATACTTATCCTGACTCATGAGGTAAGCCCTCCCATCCTCCCCACATAACACTTTGGATTTCCCTGTAAATTCAAATATTGGGCTCAGTATATGAGGAGAGAGTGAGGCACATGGGTGGAGGTGGCGCCCTCGTTCCCGCGCTTGTGGAAGGGAGGTAACTCGTGGTGAGTACTAATTAGTGATTTTACATTGAAGGGAACTTCAATTAGGGAGATACAAGTGTTCCACTATGTTCGCAAGAAGAAGAAGACAAGCAAAAGAGCATGAGTCAGGATAAGTATAAAATATCAATTTTACTCTAAAAATTACATGTTTGTTGTACTCTGATAGATGATGACAATGTTTGTTGTACTCTGACAGATGATGACAATGAAAACGTCATGTGTATTAACATGTTTCAGGTTCATACAGAAGCAGGGTTTGGACCAGACCTTCTACGAGTGTGACAACCATCTCTGGCGTATCGGACCCAGGAAACTGCCGGGTGGAATAAGGGTGGATGGTGGCAGTGACTGGGTGTGCCTGTATCGCAAGTATGTCCAGTATCTGGTCACCACAGAGGATGAGCTGGTGACAGGCCTCAAACAGCTGTACAAGTACACCCTCCTTCCAGCTGAGGTAGGACACCTGCGGCACCTGCTCAACTTCCAGCCACACTCTAGGACAGCGACATATCCCAATCTAACCAGCCACACTCTAGGACAGCCACATATCTCAATCTAACCAGCCACGCTCTAGGACAGCGACATATCTCAATCTTACCAGCCACACTCGAGGACAGCGACATATCCCAATCCAACCAGCGACGCTCTAGGACAGCGACATATCCCAATCTAACCAGCCACGCTCTAGGACAGTGACATATCTCAATCTTACCAGCCACGCTCTAGACAGTGACATATCTCAATCTTACCAGCCACACTCGAGGACAGCCACATATCTCAATCTAACCAGCCACACTCTAGGACAGTGACATATCCCAATCTAACCAGCCACGCTCTAGGGACAGCGACATATCCCAATCTAACCAGCCACGCTCTAGGACAGTGACATATGTCAATCTTACCAGCCACACTCTAGGACAGTGACATATGTCAATCTTACCAGCCACACTCGAGGACAGCGACATATCCCAATCCAACCAGCCACACTCTAGGACAGTGACATATCCCAATCTAACCAGCCACACTCTAGGACAGTGACATATCCCAATCTTACCAGCCACACTCTAGGACAGTGACATATGTCAATCTTACCAGCCACACTCGAGGACAGCGACATATCCCAATCTAACCAGCCACACTCTAGGACAGAGACATATCCCAATCCAACCAGCAACACTCTAGGACAGCGACATATCCCAATCTAACCAGCCACGCTCTAGGACAGCGACATATCCCAATCTAACCAGCCACACTCTAGGACAGTGACATATGTCAATCTTACCAGCCACACTCGAGGCGACATATCTCACAGCGACATATCTCAATCTAACCAGCCACACTCTAGGACAGTGACATATCTCAATCTAACCAGCCACACTCTAGGACAGCGACATATCCCAATCTAACCAGCCACACTCTAGGACAGCGACATATCCCAATCTAACCAGCCACACTCTAGGACAGTGACATATGTCAATCTTACCAGCCACACTTTCGAGAGTCAATCTTACCAGACAGCGACATATCCCAATCCAACCAGCCACACTCTAGGACAGTGACATATCCCAATCTAACCAGCCACACTCTAGGACAGCGACATATCCCAATCTAACCAGCCACACTCTAGGACAGTGACATATGTCAATCTCAACCAGCCACACTCGAGGACAGCGACATATCCCAATCTAACCAGCCACACTCTAGGACAGTGACATATCCCAATCCAACCAGCCACACTCTAGGACAGCGACATATCTCAATCTAACCAGCCACACTCGAGGACAGAGACATATCTCAATCTAACCAGCCACACTCTAGGACAGTGACATATCTCAATCCAACCAGCCATACTCGAGGACAGCGACATATCCCAATCCAACCAGCCACACTCTAGGACAGCAACATACCCCAATCCAACCAGCAACACTCGAGGACAGAGACATATCCCAATCTAACCAGCCACACTCTAGGACAGAGACATATCTCAATGTAACCAGCTGCTCTGTAGAACAGTGTCATATCTCAATGTAACCAGCCATTATGAAGGACATCAGCAGATCTCAATCTTTTATATTTTTCAGTCTTTCTTTCACACGGTTCTGGTGAACAGCGTGTACTGCACCAAGGTGGTGGACAACAACCTCCACCTCACAAACTGGCGCCGCAAACAGGGCTGCAAGTGTCAGTATAAACACATCGTTGACTGGTGCGGCTGTTCCCCCAACGACTTCAAGATCTCTGACCTCGACAGACTCATGGTAGGTTAGCATTTGTATGGACATTGTGAGATTACGTCCATGTACATCTAAACAGACACCCGTGAAGATCCGTTTTAGAATTGATCTTCAGTAACCCATGCTTGTCGTGAGAGGTGACTAACAGGATCAGGTGGTCAGGCTCGCTGACTTGGTTGACATTTGTCATTGTATCCCTATTGCTTAGAACGATGCTCATGATGCTGATCACTGGATTGTCTGGTCCAGACTCGATTATTTACAGACCACTGCCATATAGCTGGAATATTGCTGAGTGCGACGTAAAACTAATCTCACTCCCTGACTCCCTCACTCTAAACAGACATGGCAGATTGACATCAGGTAGTATATGGACATTGTGAGATTGAGACCTAAACAGACATGTGGCAGATTGACATCAGCTAGTATATGGACATTGTGAGATTGAGACCTAAGCAGACATGTGGCAGATTGACATCAGCTAGTATATGGACATTGATAGATTGAGACCTAAACAGACATGTGGCAGATTGACATCAGGTAGTATATGGACATTGTGAGATTGAGACCTAAGCAGACATGTGGCAGATTGACATCAGCTAGTATATGGACATTGTGAGATTGAGACCTAAACAGACATGTGGCAGATTGACATCAGGTAGTATAGGGATTGAGACCTAAACAGACATGTGGCAGATTGACATCAGCTAGTATAGGGATTGAGACCTAAACAGACATGTGGCAGATTGACATCAGCTAGTATATGGACATTGTGAGATTGAGACCTAAACAGACATGTGGCAGATTGACATCAGCTAGTATATGGACATTGTGAGATTGAGACCTAAACAGACATGTGGCAGATTGACATCAGGTAGTATATGGACATTGATAGAATGAGACCTAAACAGACATGTGGCAGATTGACATCAGCTAGTATATGGACATTGTGACACTGAGACCTAAACAGACATGTGGCAGATTGACATCAGGTAGTATATGGACATTGTGAGATTGAGACCTAAACAGACATGTGGCAGATTGACATCAGCTAGTATATGGACATTGTGACACTGAGACCTAAACAGACATGTGGCAGATTGACATCAGCTAGTATATGGACATTGATAGAATGAGACCTAAACAGACATGTGGCAGATTGACATCAGCTAGTATATGGACATTGATAGAATGAGATCTAAACAGACATGTGAGATTGACATCAGCTAGTATATGGACATTGATAGAATGAGACCTAAGAGACATGTGGCAGATTGACATCAGCTAGTATATGGACATTGTGAGATTGAGATCTAAACAGACATGTGGCAGATTGACATCAGCTAGTATATGGACATTGTGAGATTGAGACCTAAACAGACATGTGGCAGATTGACATCAGGTAGTATAGGGATTGATACCTAAACAGACATGTGGCAGATTGACATCAGGTAGAGATTGAGACCTAAACAGACATGTGGCAGATTGACATCAGCTAGTATATGGACATTGTGAGATTGAGATCTAAACAGACATGTGGCAGATTGACATCAGCTAGTATATGGACATTGTGAGATTGAGACCTAAACAGACATGTGGCAGATTGACATCAGCTAGTATATGGACATTGATAGAATGAGACCTAAACAGACATGTGGCAGATTGACATCAGCTAGTATATGGACATTGTGACACTGAGACCTAAACAGACATGTGGCAGATTGACATCAGCTAGTATATGGACATTGTGAGATTGAGACCTAAACAGACATGTGGCAGATTGACATCAGCTAGTATATGGACATTGTGACACTGAGACCTAAACAGACATGTGGCAGATTGACATCAGCTAGTATATGGACATTGATAGAATGAGACCTAAACAGACATGTGGCAGATTGACATCAGCTAGTATATGGACATTGATAGAATGAGACCTAAACAGACATGTGGCAGATTGACATCAGGTAGTATATGGACATTGATAGAATGAGACCTAAACAGACATGTGGCAGATTGACATCAGCTAGTATATGGACATTGTGAGATTGAGATCTAAACAGACATGTGGCAGATTGACATCAGCTAGTATATGGACATTGTGAGATTGAGACCTAAACAGACATGTGGCAGATTGACATCAGGTAGTATAGGGATTGATACCTAAACAGACATGTGGCAGATTGACATCAGGTAGTATAGGGATTGAGACCTAAACAGACATGTGGCAGATTGACATCAGCTAGTATATGGACATTGTGAGATTGAGATCTAAACAGACATGTGGCAGATTGACATCAGCTAGTATATTGACATTGTGAGATTGAGACCTAAACAGACATGTGGCAGATTGACATCAGCTAGTATATGGACATTGATAGAATGAGACCCAAACAGACATGTGGCAGATTGACATCAGCTAGTATATGGACATTGTGACACTGAGACCTAAACAGACATGTGGCAGATTGACATCAGGTAGTATATGGACATTGTGAGATTGAGACCTAAACAGACATGTGGCAGATTGACATCAGCTAGTATATGGACATTGTGACACTGAGACCTAAACAGACATGTGGCAGATTGACATCAGCTAGTATATGGACATTGATAGAATGAGACCTAAACAGACATGTGGCAGATTGACATCAGCTAGTATATGGACATTGATAGAATGAGACCTAAACAGACATGTGGCAGATTGACATCAGGTAGTATATGGACATTGATAGAATGAGACCTAAACAGACATGTGGCAGATTGACATCAGGTAGTATATGGACATTGTGAGATTGAGATCTAAACAGACATGTGGCAGATTGACATCAGGTAGTATATGGACATTGTGAGATTGAGATCTAAACAGACATGTGGCAGATTGACATCAGCTAGTATATGGACATTGTGAGATTGAGATCTAAACAGACATGTGGCAGATTGACATCAGCTAGTATATGGACATTGTGAGATTGAGATCTAAACAGACATGTGGCAGATTGACATCAGCTAGTATATGGACATTGTGAGATTGAGATCTAAACAGACATGTGGCAGATTGACATCAGCTAGTATATTGACATTGTGAGATTGAGACCTAAACAGACATGTGGCAGATTGACATCAGCTAGTATATGGACATTGATAGAATGAGACCTAAACAGACATGTGGCAGATTGACATCAGGTAGTATATGGACATTGATAGATTGAGACCTAAACAGACATGGCAGATTGACATCAGCTAGTATATGGACAGTGTGAGATTGAGATCTAAACAGACATGTGGCAGATTGACATCAGCTAGTATATGGACATTGTGAGATTGAGACCTAAACAGACATGTGGCAGATTGACATCAGCTAGTATATGGACATTGTGAGATTGAGATCTAAACAGACATGTGGCAGATTGACATCAGCTAGTATATGGACATTGTGAGATTGAGACCTAAACAGACATGTGGCAGATTGACATCAGCTAGTATAATGGACATTGTGAGATTGAGATCTAAACAGACATGTGATAGATTGACATCAGGTAGTATATGGACATTGATAGAATGAGACCTAAACAGACATGTGGCAGATTGACATCAGCTAGTATATGGACATTGTGACACTGAGACCTAAGCAGACATGTGGCAGATTGACATCAGCTAGTATATGGACATTGTGAGATTGAGACCTAAACAGACATGTGGCAGATTGACATCAGGTAGTATATGGACATTGTGAGATTGAGATCTAAACAGACATGTGGCAGATTGACATCAGCTAGTATATGGACATTGTGAGATTGAGATCTAAACAGACATGTGGCAGATTGACATCAGCTAGTATATGGACATTGTGAGATTGAGATCTAAACAGACATGTGGCAGATTGACATCAGCTAGTATATGGACATTGTGAGATTGAGATCTAAACAGACATGTGGCAGATTGACATCAGCTAGTATATGGACATTGTGAGATTGAGATCTAAACAGACATGTGGCAGATTGACATCAGCTAGTATATTGACATTGTGAGATTGAGACCTAAACAGACATGTGGCAGATTGACATCAGCTAGTATATGGACATTGATAGAATGAGACCTAAACAGACATGTGGCAGATTGACATCAGGTAGTATATGGACATTGATAGAATGAGACCTAAACAGACATGGCAGATTGACATCAGCTAGTATATGGACAGTGTGAGATTGAGATCTAAACAGACATGTGGCAGATTGACATCAGGTAGTATATGGACATTGTGAGATTGAGACCTAAACAGACATGTGGCAGATTGACATCAGCTAGTATATGGACATTGTGAGATTGAGATCTAAACAGACATGTGGCAGATTGACATCAGGTAGTATATGGACATTGTGAGATTGAGACCTAAACAGACATGTGGCAGATTGACATCAGGTAGTATAATGGACATTGTGAGAGATTGAGATCTAAACAGACATGTGGCAGATTGACATCAGGTAGTATATGGACATTGATAGAATGAGACCTAAACAGACATGTGGCAGATTGACATCAGCTAGTATATGGACATTGTGACACTGAGACCTAAGCAGACATGTGGCAGATTGACATCAGCTAGTATATGGACATTGTGAGATTGAGATCTAAACAGACATGTGGCAGATTGACATCAGCTAGTATATAGACATTGTGAGATTGAGATCTAAACAGACATGTGGCAGATTGAAATCAGCTAGTATATAGACATTGTGAGATCAATGCTCATGTGGATGTAAACAGACATGTGATAGACTGACAACAGCCACTGTATGGACATTTTGAGATCATCCGTGTCTTCCTGAAGTTGTGGAATTTCTTTGTTGAGTACAGTATTATTTAAGTCCAGATTTTCATTCATAATTTCTTTTCATGATGATGACTAATTAAGAGCCTTCTTTGTTGTTAAAGAGTTGAAGCTCTTGTGGCTGAATCATTTTCTAAATCTTTTCAGAACTATGAGCAAAAACCAATTTTCTTTGCAAGAAAATTTGAGCCTATAGTGAACCAGGAGATAATCAATAGTTTAGACGTCTATTTATTCGGTAATTTCCAACAAGGTAAGAATTTGTTTTAACATCTATAAAGGATACCTGATGGAAAAGTGAGTTCTGATGTGATGAGCTGGGCCCAGTTGACAGTTCTGATGTGATCTGCTGGACCCAGTTGACTGAGTTCTGATGTGATCTGCTGGGCCCAGTTGACTGAGTTCTGATGACTGATCTGTTGGGCCCAGTTGACTGAGTTCTGATGTGATCTGCTGGACCCAGTTGACTGAGTTCTGATGTGATCTGCTGGACCCAGTTGACTGAGTTCTGATGTGATCTGCTGGACCCAGTTGACTGAGTTCTGATGTGATCTGCTGGGCCCAGTTGACTGAGTTCTGATGTGATCTGCTGGACCCAGTTGACTGAGTTCTGATGTGATCTGCTGGGCCCAGGACTGAGTTCTGATGTGATCTGCTGGTTCTGATGTGATCCCAGTTGAAAGTTCTGATGTGATCTGCAGGGTGCAAGGTTTGTTGTGATTGTGCACTCCTTCCTAGTTGGTTTCTCTGTGCTGGTACAGTGTCTTAGACCTGTGGCATGAAGGCTGTCTTCTCAACCATAAACTTTACACAGCCTGAATTGCCAGAATTGACAGAAGTACTGTACATACTGAACAGAGGTACTGTACATACTGAACAGAGGTACTGTACATACTAAACAGCAGGGATTCAGGCAGTGGAATGTAACAATATTCATGTTTTAGATATGAAAAATGAGTTTTTCAATTATAAAAATACATTTAAAGGCATCATTTGTTTTGAGAAACAATTGTGTGTATGTTTCAGACATGACTGGCTTAACCAGCTACTGGCAAAACGAATACCATCATCTGGACAAGATAGCCAAGGTCAAGGATGCCTACCCAACATTCTACCAGTCATTTGTGAGGCTGGGAGTTGCAGAACTGTCCCGCCAATCTGTATCATGTACATATCGACCTATGAAAACACTGGAGGCCAATGTGTTCTATGAGGCTGACCACTTTCATGGAATCCTGGTCCTTCACGAAGTCGAGGAGGTTGCTACAGGCAACATCATCACCATGGAAACACACATGCATCCAAAACATCACTATTCCATCCTCCAACCAAAGACAATCATAGGAAGACTCCAGACTCTGGAGGTGAGCCCACTAGACCATTAGACCAGTATACCACTGTACCACTAGACCATTAGACCAGTATCCCACTGTACCACTAGCCCATTAGACCAGTATCCCACTGTACCACTAGACCACTACCCCACTAGACCATTAGACCACTGTACCACCACCATTATACCACTAGACCATATACCACTGTACCTCTAGCCCATTATACCATTGGACCACTAGACCATTATACCACTGTACCACTAGACCATAATACCACTGTACCAAAAGCCCACTAGACCATTATACCACTGTACCATTACACCATTAAACCACTGTACCACTAGCCCACTAGACCATTATACCACTGTACCACTAGCCCATTAGACCATTATACCACTGTACCACTAGACCATTATACCACTGTACCATTAGACCACTGTACCACTAGCCCACTAGACCATTATACCACTGTACCACTAGACCATTATACCACTAGACCATTATACCACTGTACAAATATACCGACTAGACCATTATACCACTAGACCAGTATACCACTGTACCACTAGACCATTATACCACTGTACCACTAGCCCATTAGACCATTATACCACTGTACCACTAGACCATTATACCACTGTACCATTAGACCACTGTACCACTAGACCTTTATACCACTGTACCACTAGCCCACTAGACCATTATACCACTGTACCACTAGACCATTAGACCACTGTACCATTAGACCATTATACCACTGTACCACTAGACCATTATACCACTGTACCACTACCCATTACACCAGACCATAGACCATTATACCACTGTACCACTAGACCGTTATACCACTGTACCACTAGACCATTATACCACTATCCCACTAGACCATTATACCACTGTACAAATAGCCGACTAGACCATTATACCACTAGACCATTATACCACTGTACCACTAGACCATTATACCACTGTACCACTAGACCATTATGCCACTGTACCACTAGACCATTAGACCACTAGACCATTATACCACTGTACCACTAGACCATTATGCCACTGTACCAATAGCCGACTAGACCATTATACCACTAGACCATTATACCACTGTACCACTACACCATTATACCACTGTGCCACTAGCCCATTATACCACTAGACCATTATACCACTAGCCCACTAGACCATTATACCACTGTACAAATAGCCGACTAGACCATTATGCCACTGTACCACTAGACCATTATACCACTAGACCATTATGCCACTGTACCACTAGACCATTGTACCACTGGCCCATTAGACCATTATACCACTAGCCCACTAGACCATTATACCACTGTACCACTAGACCATTATACCACTGTACCACTTCTAGACCATTAGACAACTGTACCACTAGCCCACTGGGCAACTAGACCATCAGACCACTGTACCAATTCTAGACCATTATGCCAGTGTACCACTAGACCATTATACCACTGTACCACTAGCCCACTAGACCATTAGACAACTGTACCACTAGCCCACTGGGCAATTAGACCATCAGACCACTGTACCACTTCTAGACCATTATACCAGTGTACCACTAGACCATTATACCAGTGTACCACTAGACCATTAGACCATTATACCACTAGACCATTATACCACTGGACCACTAGACCATTATACCACTGTACCATTAGACCACTAGCCCATTAGACCACTGTACCACTAGACCATTATACCACTGTACCATTAGACCATTATACCACTGTACCACTAGCCCACTAGACCATTATACCACTATCCCACTAGACCATTATACCACTGTACCACTAGCCCACTAGACCATCATACCACTGTACCACTACCCACTAGACCATTAAACCACTGTACAAATAGCCCACTAGACCATGATACCACTGTACCACTAGCCACCCAGACCACTAGCCCACTAGACCATTATACCACTGTACCATTATACCACTTTACCACTAGACCATTATACCACTGTACCATTAGACCATTTTACCACTGTACCACTAGACCATTATACCACTAGCCCACTAGACCATTGTACCATTAGACCATTATACCACTGTACCATTATACCACTGTACCACTAGACCATTATACCACTGTACCACTAGATCATTATACCAGTAGACCACTAGCCCACTGGACCACTAGATCATTGTACCACTAGACCACTAGCCCACTGTACCAGTAGATCATTATACCACTGTACCCCTAGACCACTGGACGATAGCCCCTCTAAACCACAGACCACTGGACCACTAGATCATTATACCACTGGACCACTAGACCATTATACCACTGTACCACTAGACCATTAGACCAGTATACCACTGTACCACTAGACCATTAGACCAGTATACCACTGTACCACTAGACCACTACCCCTCTAGACCATTAGACCACTGTACCACTAGACCATTATACCACTGTACCTCTAGCCCATTATACCATTGGACCACTAGACCATTATACCACTGTACCACTAGACCATTATACCACTGTACCAAAAGCCCACTAGACCATTATACCACTGTACCATTACACCATTAAACCACTGTACCACTAGCCCATTAGACCATTATACCACTGTACCACTCAGACCATTATACCACTAGACCATTAGACCACTGTACCACTAGACCTTTATACCACTGTACCACTGTACCACTAGACCTTTATACCACTGTACCACTAGCCCACTAGACCATTATACCACTGTACCACTAGACCATTATACCACTGTACCACTAACCCCACTAGACCATTATACCACTGTACCACTAGACCATTATACCACTGTACCACTAGACCATTATACCACTATCCCACTAGACCATTATACCACTGTACAAATAGCCGACTAGACCATTATACCACTAGACCATTATACCACTGTACCACTAGACCATTATACCACTGTACCACTAGACCATTATGCCACTGTACCACTAGACCATTAGACCATTATACCACTGTACCACTAGACCATTGTACCACTGTACCACTAGACCATTATACCACTGTACCACTAGCCCACTAGACCATTATACCACTGTACCATTACACCATTAAACCACTGTACCACTAGCCCACTAGACCATTATACCACTGTACCACTAGCCCATTAGACCATTATACCACTGTACCACTAGACCATTATACCACTGTACCACTAGACCATTAGACCACTGTACCACTAGACCTTTATACCACTGTACCACTTTACCACTATACCATTATACCACTGTACCACTAGACCATTATACCACTGTACCACTACCCCACTAGACCATTATACCACTAGACCGTTATACCACTGTACCACTAGACCATTATACCACTAGACCATTATACCACTAGCCCACTAGACCATTATACCACTGTACAAATAGCCGACTAGACCATTATACCACTAGACCATTATACCACTGTACCACTAGACCATTATACCACTGTACCACTAGCCCATTATACCACTAGACCATTATACCACTAGCCCACTAGACCATTATACCACTGTACAAATAGCCGACTAGACCATTATGCCACTGTACCACTAGACCATTATACCACTAGACCATTATGCCACTGTACCACTAGACCATTGTACCACTGGCCCATTAGACCATTATACCACTAGCCCACTAGACAATTATACCACTGTACCACTAGACCATTATACCACTGTACCATTTCTAGACCATTAGACAACTGTACCACTAGCCCACTGGGCAACTAGACCATCAGACCACTGTACCAATTCTAGACCATTATGCCAGTGTACCACTAGACCATTATACCACTGTACCACTAGACCATTATACCACTAGCCCACTAGACCATTAGACAACTGTACCACTAGCCCACTGGGCAACTAGACCATCAGACCACTGTACCACTTCTAGACCATTATACCAGTGTACCACTAGACCATTATACCACTGTACCACTAGACCATTATACCACTAGCCCACTAGACCATTATACCACTGGACCACTAGACCATTATACCACTACCATTAGACCACTAGCCCATTAGACCACTGTACCACTAGACCATTATACCACTGTACCATTAGACCATTATACCACTGTACCACTAGCCCACTAGACCATTATACCACTATCCCACTAGACCATTATACCACTGTACCACTAGCCCACTAGACCATCATACCACTGTACCACTACCCACTAGACCATTAAACCACTGTACAAATAGCCCACTAGACCATGATACCACTGTACCACTAGCCACCCAGACCACTAGCCCACTAGACCATTATACCACTGTACCATTATACCACTTTACCACTAGACCATTTTACCACTGTACCATTAGACCATTTTACCGCTGTACCACTAGACCATTATACCACTAGCCCACTAGACCATTGTACCATTAGACCATTATACCACTGTACCATTATACCACTGTACCACTAGACCATTATACCACTGTACCACTAGATCATTATACCAGTAGACCACTAGCCCACTGGACCACTAGATCATTATACCACTGTACCACTAGACCACTGTACCAGTAGATCATTATACCACTGTACCCCTAGACCACTGGACGTATAGCCCTCTAAACCACAGACCACTGGACCACTAGATCATTATACCACTGGACCACTAGACCATTATACCACTGTACCACTAGACCATTATACCACTGTACCACTAGACCACTGTACGTATAGCCCTCTAAACCACAGACCACAGGACTACTAGATTACTAGACCAGGATTGAGAACATTTGATGTGTATGGTAGGAAAATAATGTTTGCAGAATAGTAGAGACTTATTCAAGTTCTTTTTATCATCAGTTATTAGTTCTGATGAATGGTTGTTTAGTAGATTGAAGAGAAAGGAGAAAATTATAAGATAAGTTGAAAAATAATTGTATGCTAGATGCATATCAACTATTCTTTGAGGGATATATTGATGATGTCTTTTCTTTTGTAGGTGGGAACAGATTTTGATCCCAAAGAACTTTTATTCCGAAATTACGGAAAACTTATCGGCCCCTATGATGATGTGGTATTGCGTCATGTTTGGGGAGCTGGGATTGAGTTTGTGATCTCAGTGGCATGGATTGACCCAGTCAATGTCATAGCTGCATCGTATGATGTGAAGGTCCTCAGTAGTGGACACACTGGGTCCCACAAACCGCAGCTGAACCGGCCTCTGCGTCCCGGAATCTGGCAGGTGAAGCTGATGTACAACCTGCAGCTCCTGGCGGAGACCTCCTTCCTCGTCATCCCCCTCACTGTGTATGACGGACACCCCATCTCTGCCGCCGAGATCTACAGAGCTCACAGTGGACCACAAGGCTTCTACGCATCCAAAGACTTCTCTGAATTCCGGGATGTGCTGAACGTTCCTAAGCATGCTGACCTACAGACTCAGGCAGCAGTGAACGCCAAGAAGGTGGGGAAGGACCTGGAAAACTGGGTGGACAGTTTAGTGCCTTTGTTTTGGCAGGTTCAGAGGTCATGTACCATAGAGGATCTGTCTAACACCTGCCTTGTGTTAGAACAGTGCAAAAAAACATCATGGAGTTCAAGATCACCTGATCCAAAGTCAGATCTTTCAAGTGTTGGAGCTAAGTTTGCTCCAGTCAGATAACAGTAGGGGTGCTTAGGAAGTTAGTCAACTTGTTTCATTCAACACTAAGTCATGGTGATAAAAGGGTACGATCTGTCTAGATTCCTCCATAGAGGGGTGGTGAGATAGCATGCCTCACTCACTCACTCACTCACTCACTCACTCACTCCAACCTCACCCACTCACTCCAACACTCACTCACTCACTCCAACACTCACTCACTCACTCACTCACTCACTCCTCTAGTGGAATCATGTTGATCATCAGGAAGATATGGTTCCTTATTCCTGTGTTTTAGTAAATGAGCATCAAATGTATTGAATTGTGGTTTATGCTGACAAAATGTTTTTACTTTTGCTATCAAATGATGTTTGACATTCTGAAAAGTCACTGATGAGTGATTGTGCCAAACAAATTCAGACACGTCTTTTTATGATCTTTTATTATTTATAAGACTTTTTAAAAACTTTGGTATCAAAATGTTTGTGTCTAAATATACAGAATCTGTGTGGCTCAAGGAGGTCCTTTACTGACCGGATTAAAATTAGCTGTGAATATGACAGAGTTAACTTCAAGTTGAAACAGAGAACCCCCACCAAGGGAGGTGCTTGGGCAATCCGACCTGGATGCTCCTTGTCCAGTAAACAGCGGGCTCACAACAGAAGTGTAGGCATGGTCTGGTCAGGGGATCCCCTACTAAGGAAGGTGATTGGTCTGTACTACACTGTATTGATGATATGATGAGTCGACCTGGATGTCTGGTAAACAGCGGGCTCACAACAAAAGTGTAGTTTTGCTGACTAAGACTAACCTCTTGCTGTGATAATGAACCTCTTGTCACCATGGTTACAGCTGACCATGATTACTGGCAGATATGGTTACTTCCATCACTTATGGGCTGAAAGATGTCTCCATGGTTACAATTGACTTGTTGACTAAAAGATATCACCATGGTTACTGCTCACATATTGATCAACAGATATCAAAATCGTTTCTACCAACATGTTAATAGACATACGTCACCATGGTTACTGCTAACATTTTAATAGACATAAGTCACCATAGTTACTGGCTGACAGATATCACAAGTTTTACTGCTGACACATATTGATGGATATCACCATGGTTACAACTGATACATATCTCATATTGTTTCTGCAATGTGCAGCTTGTTTGTGTGAATGTGATACAATGAACTGTTGTGTGGCCACGTGTATGTAAGCAGTGTCTGATTGTGTGTACATACCACTGCAGCCATGACTGGCTAGCTAGTTGCTGCACTGTGCTGGACCTCTGTCATGTATGTAGAAGTGCTACTCACCTGTCTCCACCTGTATGTGTCCCGTGTTTATCAAGTCCCAAGTGCCTCTCTACTATGTGAATTGGTTGTCGTAAATAGCATTTCTTTCGATACTGAAATTAAGAAAATAATATGAGTTGTCCACATCCCATGGAAGTGGTTTAGACATTTCAGGTGAGTGGAAGATCTGTTAATACCATCACTTACTTTGATGCAGGACTTGGAATATCCTGTAGAACTACTTCCTCGTTGACATATCTACGTCAACCAATTCTTGCTCTGAAGTGCCCCATGTATATTAACTATAAATATATGTATATAGTAGACTGACATGCCCCATGTCTTGTCACAGGGGATCTGTTCACTATTAGCTGCCTCCTGTCTTGTCACAGGGGATCTGTTCACTATTGGCTGCCTTCTGTCTTGTCACAGAGGATCTGTTCACTATGAGCTGCCTTCTGTCTTGTCACAGAGCATCTGTTCACTATGAGCTACCTTCTGTCTTGTCACAGGGCTGCCTCTGTTCACTATGAGCTGCCTCCTGTCTTGTCACAGAAGATCTGTTCACTATGAGCTGCCTCCTGTCTTGTCACAGGGGATCTGTTCACTATGAGCTGCCTCCCTGTCTTGTCACAGGGGATCTGTTCACTATGAGCTGCCTCCTGTCTTGTCACAGGGGGATCTGTTCACTATGAGCTGCCTCCTGTCTTGTCACTATGAGGGATCTGTTCACTATGAGCTGCCTCCTGTCTTGTCACAGGGGATCTGTTCACTATGAGCTGCCTCCTGTCTTGTCACAGAGGATCTGTTCACTATGAGCTGCCTCCCTGTCTTGTCACAGGGGATCTGTTCACTATGAGCTGCCTCCTGTCTTGTCACAGGGGATCTGTTCACTATGAGCTGCCTCCTGTCTTGTCACAGGGGATCTGTTCACTATGAGCTGCCTCCTGTCTTGTCACAGGGATCTGTTCACTATGAGCTGCCTCCCTGTCTTGTCACAGGGGATCTGTTCACTATGAGCTGCCTCCTGTCTTGTCACAGAGGGGATCTGTTCACTATGAGCTGCCTCCTGTCTTGTCACAGGGATCTGTTCACTATGAGCTGCCTCCTGTCTTGTCACAGGGGATCTGTTCACTATGAGCTGCCTCCTGTCTTGTCACAGGGGATCTGTTCACTATGAGCTGCCTCCTGTCTTGTCACAGGGGATCTGTTCACTGTTCATGAGCTTCCTCCTGTCTTGTCACAGGGGATCTGTTCACTATGAGCTGCCTCCTGTCTCTGTCACAGGGGATCTGTTCACTATGAGCTGCCTCCTGTCTTGTCACAGGGGATCTGTTCACTATGAGCTGCCTCCTGTCTTGTCACAGGGGATCTGTTCACTATGAGCTGCCTCCTGTCTTGTCACAGGGGATCTGTTCACTATGAGCTGCCTCCTGTCTTGTCACAGGGGATCTGTTCACTATGAGCTGCCTCCTGTCTTGTCACAGGGGATCTGTTCACTATGAGCTGCCTCCCTGTCTCTGTCACAGGGGATCTGTTCACTATGAGCTGCCTCCTGTCTTGTCACAGGGGATCTGTTCACTATGTCTGCCAGAGGATCTGTTCACTATGTCACAGGGGATCTGTTCACTATGAGCTGCCTCCTGTCTTGTCACAGGGGATCTGTTCACTATGAGCTGCCTCCTGTCTTGTCACAGGGGATCTGTTCACTATGAGCTGCCTCCTGTCTTGTCACAGGGGATCTGTTCACTATGCATGAACATGTCCAGTCAGCTCACATGGTCCCACACCATGACATGATGATGTTCAAATAACAAGATTAACTGTCATGATGTTTGATCAGCTCATGTGACCAATGTGATTCATGTGTCATGATGTTTGATCAGCTCCTGTGACCATCATGACTGACATGTCAGGATGTTTGATCAGCTCATGCGACTATTGTGACTCACATGTCAAAATGTTTGATCAGCTCATGTGACCATTGTGACTGACATGTCAGGATGTTTGATCAGCTCATGTGACCATTGTGACTGACATGTCCTGATGTTTGATCAGCCCATGTGACCATTGTGACTGACATGTCATGATGTTTGATCAGCTCCTCTGACCATCGTGACTGACATGTCCTCATGTTTGATCAGCTCATGTGACCATCTTGACTGACATGTCCTGTTGTTTGATCAGCTCATGTGACCATCGTGACTGACATGTCCTGATGCTCATGTGACCATTGTGACTCACATGTCTTGTTCATTAAGCTCCTGTGATCAGCTTGAGTTTCCCTTTCATTCTCTTACATGATGTTCTTTTGGCTGATATGTGTATGAAACCTGTGTTCAAGATGAGACATTTAAGTGCTTAGTACGCATGTGTGTCAGTGTGCATGTGTGTCAATACATAGTCCACCATGTAGCTGCATGCAACTTGAACAAATCTTCAACCACGGACAGTTGATGAGTGTGCTGGATAATGATGCTTCGCCCCTACTGACTGTATCCTTGAGCGGGTTTTAGTTGATAAGATTTCATCATTTTTCTGATCAAATGTATCCAGTTACAGTGCCACTGCATCATATCAATCATATCAGTGTTTACGTTTTTGTTGATATGCCTCATGATTTCATATTGAAAAAGTCAAGCAATGTTTATCATTGGCTTCAGAAGTTTGTTTGCAACCTAGTGTTCTATAGACCGGATGTTCAGTTGTGGCTGGTGTTCAGTGGATCTGACATTCAGCTATGGCTGATGTTCAGTGGACCTGGTGTTCAAGGTGGTTTTATCATCTCATAATTTTTCCATATATGTTAAGTTCTAAGAATTATTTTGAAAATTTTATTTCAATTGTGTATCTATAACGAAGTCTTTATTTGTCTGAACTGATAACGGTGGGGAAGTCTTTACTTGTCTGAACTGATAACGATGGGGAAGTCTTTAGTTGTCTGAACTGATAATGGTGGGGAAGTCTTTACTTGTCTGAACTGATAACGGTGGGGAAGTGTTTGCTTGTCTGAACTGGTAACGGTGGGGAAGTGTTTGCTTGTCTGAACTGGTAACGGTGGGGAAGTCTTTACTTGTCTGAACTGATAATGGTGAGGGAGTATTTACTTGTCTGAAATGATAACGATGGGGAAGTCTTTACTTGTCTGAAATGATAACAGTGGGGAAGTCTTTACTTGTCTGAACTGATAACGGTGGGGAAGTGTTTGCTTGTCTGAATTGATAACGGTAGGGAAGTCTTTACTTGTCTGAACTGATAACAGTGGGGAAGTCTTTACTTGTCTGAACTGATAATGGTGGGAAAGTGTTTGCTTGTCTGAACTGATAACGGTGGGGAAGTCTTTACTTGTCTGAACTGATAACGGTTAGGAAGTATTTACTTGTCTGAACTGATAATGGTGAGGGAGTATTTACTTGTCTGAAATGATAACGGTGGGAAAGTCTTTACTTGTCTGTATCTTTAACAGTGGGGAAATCTTTACTTGTCTGAAATGATAACGGTGGGAAAGTCTTTACTTGTCTGAAATGATAACGGTGGGGAAGTATTTACTTGTCTGAAATGATAACGCTGGGGAAGTATTTACTTGTCTGAACTGATAACGGTGGGGAAGTCTTTACTTGTCTGAACTGATAACGGTGGGGAAGTATTTACTTGTCTGAACTGATAACGATGGGGAAGTCTTTACTTGTCTGAACTGGTAACGGTGGGGAAGTATTTACTTGCCTGAAACGATAACGGTGGGAAAGTGTTTGCTTGTCTGTATCTATAATGGTGGGGAAGTATGTACTTGTCTGAACTGATAACGGTGGGAAAGTGTTTGCTTGTCTGTATCTATAACGGTGGGGAAGTATTTACTTGTCTGAACTGATAACGTTGGGAAAGTGTTTGCTTGTCTGTATCTATAATGGTGGGGAAGTATTTACTTGTCTGAACTGATAACGTTGGGAAAGTGTTTGCTTGTCTGTATCTATAATGGTGGGGAAGTATTTACTTGTCTGAACTGATAACGGTGGGAAAGTGTTTGCTTGTCTGTATCTATAATGGTAAGGAAGTCATTCTCAGATTTTTCTGTTTTTGATCTTTTTTCATGTTGCTTGGGTCCCAGTGTCTTTCATGTCACCAACTGATGGATGTAGTTAGGGATACATCACATCTCAGGTCCTAGGGTCCGGTGCGTGACCAACTAGAGTTAGGGTATGACCTACTTGAGTTGTCACTACACAGGTCCTAGGGTCAGGTGCGTGACCAACTAGAGTTAGGGTATGACCTACTTGAGTTGTCACTACACCGGTCCTAGGGTCAGGTGCGTGACCAACCATTAGCGCGGTCACGCTTTGGAAACAGCTGCTAGAAAGACATATAGGTATATAGACCCTACCCTAGTATTATATAAAAGGAAAGAGATTTAACGACGGAACCACCCCCTCCTCAATCTAAGTTGAATTTCACTTGAATGTCAAGGCCATCTATGGCCGACAAGTGAGTATGATTGCCGATGGTTTTGGAGAAAATGTCTGCTTACTGTTGAGGAAATGATTTGTAGATGTTGCAATAAGTTTTAGACCTCGTGGAATGGCGCTGCCGATCTAATCTAGCCCTACATAGGTGCTGTCAACGGGCTGGAATTAATAAACAAATTTAAAAGGTGAGTTTTCGTCTTGGGTGATCCATGATTTTGGCTTGGAATCATGGAGGTAGCTGTTTTCGATGAGTCGTGGTCCCGGCCTAACTTTGGAAATAATGATCCGATTGTGACCATTTATAGCTCATTTTGTAGGGAAATCATCTCGCTTTTGATCCGTAGGCCTCGACGGGGCCTTAAAAATAGTTTACGTGGTGAAATCCAACTTAGATTGAGGAGGGGTCGGTTCCGTCGTTACATCCCTTTCCTTTTATATAATACTAGGGTAGGGTCTATATACCTATATGTCTTTCTAACGCTGTTTCTAAGCGCGACACGGGTCCTAGGGTGAGGTGTATTACCAACTGGACTTAGGGTATGACCTACTTGAGTTGTCACTACACAGGTCCTCGGGTCAGGTGCGTGACCAACTAGAGTTAGGGTATGACCTACTTGAGTTGTCACTACACAGGTCCTAGGATCAGGTGCGTGACCAACTAGAGTTAGGGTATGACCTACTTGAGTTGTCACTACACAGGCCCTAGGTCAGGTGTGTGACCAACTAGAGTTAGGGTATGACCTACTTGAGTTGTCACTACACAGGTCCCAGGGTCAGATGCATGACCAACTAGAGTTAGGGTATGACCCACCTCTGAGCTGTCACTACACACAGGTCCTAGGGTCAGGTGTGTGACCAACTAGAGTTAGGGTATGACCCATTGGAAGCTGTCACTACACAGGTCCTAGGGTCAGGTGTGACCAACTAGAGTTAGGGTATGACCTACTTGAGTTGTCACTACACAGGTCCCTCTGTCACTACACAGGTCAGATGCATGACCAACTAGGAGTTAGGGCATGACCTACTTGAGTTGTCACTACACGGGTCC